ACCCAGGATTTATTTTAATGGTATCGATTTCAGCAGCAATAAAGAACTACACAGACTTCTTAGAATGGTAAAGAGACTATGCTCTTCTGTAGCATCTGCTTACTTAAACTTGGATAAAAAGCTGAGCTAATATCTTAATTACTGCTGTGTCTTCCTGAAACAAAGCTGATGCTATCCTCCAACAAAATACCTGTATCTGGTGATAGAGTACATCTCTGCCTGTGCTGTTTTTAAAGAGTGGACATAAAATGAGCTGTCTTCAAGTTAAGTGTTAAGTAAGACATCATGTATGAAACCTTTTCCTTAATTCTCTTTTACTGCTTCTTTCCTAAGAGAGGTGCTGCATCAGGAAGCTTGGTGGGCTAAATCACATGGCTTAATAGCATGAGTGTGAAGAGAAGCTGCAGTGCCATGTTGTGGAATTTCAGATATGCTCACAGCTTCTGATAGATATCACCTCTTGTATGCCATGCTGTTCTGCATGCACCCTGCATGCTAGGTTATAAATGCATACTTAAAATTCTTTACTTTGTCCACTGCCGGCTGTTCACTGATATCCAGATATGTGACAATGAAAGGAACTGAAATTGAAAGGAAAGCCAATATTAAAGAGTTTGCATAAAATTAACAGAACTGGAACAATTGTGCTTATGGTGGAGCAATATCTACAGAACTAGGAGATGGATCAGAAAATGTTACCATATTAAGGCTTCTGTAATAGTCATGTTCTTCTCTTGCCACAGAAAGTAGAACGTGACCAACAGACATACCTAGTATCTAGAAACAGCCCGTAATCCGATATGTGGTGAGACACTGGAACAGGTTGCCCAGAGAAGCTGTGGATGTTCCATTTCTGGAAGTGTTCAAGGCCAGGTTGAATTGAGCTTGGAGCAGCCTGGTCTAGGGGAAGGTGTCCCTGCCTATGGCAGGGGTTTTGGAACAATATTATTTTTAAGATCCCTTCCAACCCAAGCCATTCTGTGATTCAATTTGTGCATCACAAAACATTCACAAAGCTTTTATAGCAGACATAGCACATTCATATCAATTAACACACTGAAGTTATGTATGGCTGATGGAATTTAAACTTATTATAATCCTTCTTTGGTACTCTTCTTACCACGGGCAAGGCCTTCCCTCTGATGCAGGTAAACATATTGTTGCTATTGTAACACACTGGACTGATTTTTAAGAGCTAACACATTCAGTAAAATGTTTTCAGCCTGACACTAAGCTTTTTTAAGTCCTAAATTCATTCTGTAGTCTTCTACCCTTAATTGTACTGTGGTGTATACCTTCAATGGAGCTGATGCTATCCTCCATCAAATTACAGATATTTGATGATAGGGAATATCTGTGCCTGTGCTGTCAAATTTCTATTTAATATCAGGCAAGTCAGATAAATCAAGATGGAGAAACACCGTTTTTTAAATTTCAATATGAAGCACTGATTGTGAGAAAAGTAGTTGCAATATTAGTAAGTGTATATTCAGGGTACATGAGAGCAATCTGTATTAAGTGAAGCCTATGGATACATATTGAGCAACAACAATATACCAAATTATTGAATAATTGTTGTTTTCAATAGTTACTGTCTACTTGGTAGGAGGAAAATGTCTTATGTGTTGCTTCATCATATATGTAACAGGAGAGCTGAATTCAAATTTCACAGGCTTCTCATTTCATAGTGCTTGGCCTTGCAGCCTTAGTATTTTTTTCCTGTGTATTAAGTTTTTTATACAAACTGAGCTGCTTTCCCATTTCCAGCCCCAAAAGAAACTTGCTATATGCAAGGAAATAGAAGGAGAGCCTTGGCCTTTCAATGAGGTGACATGCTTATTTAGTCAGCTTTTTCTCTGTGTTTTGTTTTTTTCATTCCTATTTCAGCAGTCTCCACTTGGCACAGTAAGCTGCACTGCTGGCCAGCAGCCACAGCAGGAAGTTTTACGTTGTAAGATGTTTAAAACAGTGAATATATTCCTTTTGTTCAGGGATTGCAGCTCTTGGCTCTCTGCGTTGGACTCTTTCTGCCCCAGCACCCATTCCTTTGGCTTCTTAAACTTCATTTAAAGAAGAATGCAGATTCCAGGTGTGCCTAAATATTATTACCCAGCTTGTCAACTAGTCTTTCTGAAGTACCTTGTTTTCGATCTTTCCTGTAGTGTATCAGATTTTTGACATACATTTTAAAATTAATTTGAGTAGAATTGCTAGTAAAATATAGTACATGTTAATTCTATGCATCACTTGGGAAAGTTACCCCTTTTTTCAAAAAATACTCTGCAGTGGAACTCTTGACTGTATGTTGCAAAACCATGAAAACCAAAATATGATAGTTATTACACAACACACCCTGAGCCATGTTCATCTTTGGCACAGTTCTGCTGGCCTTGGTAGACTAATTCTCTTTCTAATTCCACGTGCAAAAAATGTGTTGGAAATCTCACAGCGTGAAATCTGAGTGCTCCTCCCATCTGGCATCCCCAGAGAGATTTACTCACAGTTTACTATCCTTTCAGTCAGTCCCCAAGAATTGCCTTACTTCTTTTTTTTGGTCACAGGACTGAGTTTGGGAAATATGCGATCTATTGTCAGCGATGTGTAGAACGTACCCAGCAGAACGGAGACCGAGAAGCAAGACCTTCCAGGATGGAAATCCTTTCCATTCTGCTTAGAAATCCCTACCACCATTCGCTGCCCTTTAGTATTCCAGTTCATTTCATGAATGGCATATATCAGGTAATGTCACGTAGACCACAAAACCCGAGCTCTCCCAACCTCTGGCTGTTAGCATGTACATGAAGTATTATATCAGGAAGAGAATTGTAAATGTTAAGGTAAACCTGGTTCAAGTTTCATCTTGTGCCAGTGTTAGCAATGGCAGGCACAAGGTACTTGTGATCTGATTTGATCAACAAAGAGTAAAGGTTTGGGGGAAAATCTTTAAGAGAAAATAAAAGAAGTAAAACCTCTTAAGAATGAAAAATAGCAAAGTTCTGTTTCTTATTTAACCTGACCACCGGCTGAATGAATTAGACTGAAGGAAAGGGAAAGGTATTAAATTCCACTTCCTTTCATCAGACATCTTGGAAGTTAAATCAGTGAAGGCCTGGAAGCACAGCTGTAACTCCCATTATCAGTCATGAAGGATAACCATATTTGTTACAGAACAAACATAGCTTCATTCTTAACTCTTGTGGGACTTCATTAGTCAAAGCCTGTAGGAAACTTTTCACAGGCTTCCATGCATGCTGCTTCACATCCTGGTTTGTGTTTCCAACTGTGAGAGATGGCTGAAAAAATTTTTTTAACAATTCGTAGTATTCTTAGACAGAAAGCAAGTTTTTATATGAAATCAAGGCTATATCAAATAAACTTTTCATTTCAGGTTACAGAAGAACTCTGCTTTTTTCACCACTAAGTTTCTTAATTGCTTACTGCTTCCTGCTTGCCCAGTAAAACAGAAAAAAAACAACATGTGTTTAAATCAACCTAAAAGGTTTCAAAACTGAAGTTTGGAGAAGAAAAGGAGTAATTGCTCATTAGTTATTTACTGGTCAAACTTGTATAGTTCCAAGGGCTAAGAAAATTGTAACTAAATTGTAACTAATTGTAAAAATTGTAACCACATTTGTAAAAATTGTAATTAAATTACTAATGTCTAAAAATTACTAATTTTGTAAAAATTGTAACTAATTTAACTAAAATTGCAACGAATTGTAACTAAATTACTTTAATGGAATTGGCAACTAAGCAATTATAGAGGTACTGAAAACTCCTGTATTCATCTCGGCAGCAGATTTTTATTTTAATGCCAGCCACTGAGAAGTACAAAACAGAAGTCCAAGATCGATTTTCAAGACATTTTTTACCAAGAGTAAAATTTTTTCACCAAGTCAAATACAGGAAAACACCCTCAATACAGATTTAAGTGAACATCAGCAACTGGTATCTGTATAAAAGCCATTTGCAATCTCTTGCTAAAATGCTTCAATACTAGTAACAACGGACAAAAATTCATATTTGGGGAAGTAAAACTTAGAAGGCTCTGTATATTACTGACCTATGTACTGCTGACAAAGCAACATTTGTAAAATTTTTTGAATTTGCCAGAATAGATCTGCCATCTAATATCCCTCTGAAGTTGCACATGATGAAAAATTATTAACTGATCTCATTTGTTTCATCACTGTATTGAAAAGTGGAAGAAATCATAGTCTTCTTAATTTTTCAAGTGGTATTTGTCACAAAAAGCGCAGATACTAGACTGATACCTGTTACATACATTTTGTAACAGAAATTCAAGTGTACAAGTGCAAAGAAACCACTATAAACAAAGAAAATAAACCCAAAAATATTACTTTTGGAAGCATTTTGGTAGTGAATTTGATTTGGTAAACAAAGTAAGATAAGGTACAATCTGCTGAGAAGTTAATAATTTTTGGATAGAGTAAAATTCCACTAAATTGACTTGCCATGTGGAAATCTTTTCCAGATCCTTTCTGGAAATTTTTAATTTTCAATGAGTTTCAGTAAGTTAATCACAGAGGATAGAATGGGTCCTACAATCCCAATGTTATTGTAGAGGTATTATATTTCAAAATTTTCAATTTATGGAAAGGGGGGTATATAAGCTTGATAGCAAAATCCTTTTTGGCTACTTTTTTAGGTTGTTGGGTTTGATGCCTCTACCACAGTGGAGGAATTTCTGAACACCCTGAACCAAGATACAGGGATGAGGAAACCAGCTCAGTCAGGATTTGCACTGTTTTCTGATGATCCCTCTGGCAAGGATATAGAGCACTGTCTTCAAGGAAACATCAAGGTAAACAAAAGCCTTTAATGAGCTCTGCGTGTAAAAAACCAAAGTATCTTCATTTGACAGAGCTCTCCTCAGGAAATGTAAAACAAAATATTTTTCAAGCTGAAAAATAACTGTCTTTAGCTTTTTTCTCTTAATGTGAAAGATTTTTTTTAAAATCACTTTTTTAATTGCTTAAATTCATTCAGTTAACTATACTTAAAAGCTAATAGGACATTGATATTATTCAGAGAAGTAACAGGTGAGTTAAAAAAAAGTAAGCTGTTACTAATCACAGTTCTTTAAAACTAAATAGCAGTTGGAGTCTAACATGGATTTAGAGATTTCAGTTAAAATTTCTGATTTAGTTCCAGAAGATGACCATGTGATGTCCAAGAAGACATTGATACTGGAGTGGAGATCCTGGGGAAGAAAAAGAAGAAAGGGCTCTTTATCTAAATACAGAATAATTTTAGGGTTCAGTTTAAGAAATTTCCAATGAAAGGCTTGTCATTGTTCTAAATTTTAGTTTCCTCTATTGCTAGAATTAAATTCTTTGCAGTAAAGAGTGAAAAAAATGCAATATAATCTGTGCTTTAATGAGGTATTAGATATTTTTCAAGCCTTTTAGCAACTAATGAATTATGAATATTTTGTACTTCTACCAAAGTAGTCTTTTGCACTCTTTGGCCAGTGTTCACAGCTGCACTTTTGAGTTACAAGGTGCAATACAACCTGGCCTTAGTGACAAACAGTTTGTCATCACAATCAGCCTTCTTCCTGTACCAGAAAAATTACCATCTGGAAAGCAGAATTCCTAAAAGATGTACTTATTTTCTAGGTAACTGAAACTTTAGAAGCTACTCACATTACTGCTTCCATGAAGGCTCTTTTATGAAGGAACAGTGACATGAGGTCCAGCAGGGCTCCTAGAACCTCTGTTTCACGTTCTCCCCATGTGCCCACCTGCCCTCCTGCACTGCTTGTTGTGAACCACTTCTGTTGTGTTTTATAACAAACTTCACACCAGCTTCATACCATGGCAGTTACTGGAAAGGACCTGAAAAATTCAGGCATGCAGCAGAAAGAGAAGGCAGAGATCAAAGGCATTTGATTAATTATATAACAACTCACTGTGTATAATTACACAGTCACTGGCTTCTGCTAAATCAAGTACCTGGCCTTTCCAAATAAGCATGTTAGGGCTCGCTTCCAACGTAGTACGAGTGTTGCAGGATAAGCAAACAACAAAAATGTTAATTATTAAATGTTCCAGCTAAGAAATGCAAGTGAAGTTATACTTCAGTAAGCTTAAAAATTCAAGCTATGTATGTTTCTGATATGTAGAGGATATTAAAATAAGTTGACAATTTCTATTCAAAGGTGTTTTCAAATAGGAAGACATGGCAAAGTCCGTTTTGTATTGCTTTCCTTCTAGATCTGTGACATTATTTCAAAATGGGAGCAAGCCTCCAAAGAACAACACCCTGGGAAATGTGAAGGCACAAGGACTGTACGCCTTACTTACAAAAATAGGTTTGTTTAGCAAGTATAATATCTCTGCCTTGTCCCCAGATTTGTTTTTTAGTTTCTGCAGTTTCTTCATCTGAAAAATATTGGCTGACTCGAAGCTTGCAACAAAAATAGTAAATGGGTGTAACTGGAGAATTTTTTTTAATACAGTTCATTTTTTCTAGTCCTTAAGAGATGAGCAGAACTGAAAAAAAAAAAAAAGCCATAACTGAAATCAGAGGACTGAAATTAAATACTTGTCGAGTAGTTGAAGTGCAAGTGTTGTTCTGCTAATGTGTTTTGACGCTGACATAAACATGTCACATTCAGAGCAGATACTGCTAATCCTCAGGGCTAATGCATTTCCCTGTCTTCTTTATTTAATAACTTTCTGTCTTTTCTGTAGGCTTTATTTTTCAGTTCAAGCTCATGGGGAGACAGACAGAGAGAAGCTGCTGCTAGTATATCAGACAAATGATCAAATAGTCAATGGACTTTTCCCAGTAAACAAAGAATTAGCGATGGAATTGACAGCTCTTTTAGCCCAGGTAATCTTTATGCATGAGTGACTCACACAGCAGTTTTACAGGTTAAATACTTTAATAAGCAAACTGGTCCAGGATTACTTGACCTCCACCTTTTTTATATGATAGTGCAGGAAACAGACTGGGCTGGAATCTTGTGTAAGGCAACTCTGGATTTCAAGTGGAAATGCTTTACAGCATAGGCTGCTGGGCCATCACTATGGATAAAACGTGCTTTACCTCTTACACAGTCAGGCCTTCTTGGATTAAATATCATGTACCATTTATTCATTCACTATTCCTTACATGGTTTCTGCAAGTTAATACTCCAAAGTAACAGCTGTTAATGAAAGTCTTAAGACTCCTTTACTAGACATGGTCTTGATAAGATCTGTGTTATATTTAAAAAATTAAAAGTTCAAAGGAAGGTTATTAAGAAAGTTACTTGATGTTGTTATTCAATAAATGTAAACTGATTTGTGTTAGCTGGAGATCTAGCAATCTCAGAGCAGAACTAGTATTATATTTGTACAATTTATATTTGATGTTTAACTTTTTTCCATGGGAAATAGAAAATAAGAAGATTACTTGCATAACTTTTATATTGGTGAAAAATTAATTGGCAAACTGGTTTTCATCTTATACTTGGTAATACAGATTGAAAGACAGTTCATAATATCCACCTAGAAAATTACTCTGGAGTAACAAAAAATATTCTTTATGGACATCCCATTAGGTAGAGATTGGAGATTTTGAACGGCCTTTCTCAACTCCAGCAGGGCAAGTTACTTCCCAGTCCAAGTCCAACCAAACATTAAAACAAGTTTTGGAGAGATTCTACCCTAAGAGATACAGGCAAGGTTGTTCAGAGGAACAACTAAGGTGAGATGTATTTTGTGATTCATATTCTCTAAAAATCTAGGAGTGAAACAAGGAAGTTTTAAATTGTCATTGGGTACAATTTACTCTTGTGCTATATTTGCCTAAACCTGTGTTTGAAACTCATTTTCTTGCTAAACTGAAGAACCCGTTTCCTCTGCATGTTTCTAATCTAAAAAAAAGGACCATCATTAAGCACACATTCCAGCAAAAGCTGTACCAATTACTACACAGTGTTACAAAACCCAGTGATTTTGAAATTCTTATTTTTCTTTTCAGCAAATCTAAATTAAGTCTGTGCACAGACTAAAGAGTTACTGAAAGTAAAGGACATGAGGATCTGACCTGTTTGCTATTCTAATGTGCAATCTCTGGCAGCCAGTCAGATTAGCAATATGTTAACTTCGTGGACTTGCTAGTAAGGTATCACTTAATTTACAATGAATAACCTTCAAGTCATTTGAATCAGCACCTACTAACATGAAAACGAGCGAAACAGTGTCAGTGATACAGCAGTTTTGAAGTCCAGCAAACATCACAGAAATGTCTTCCTCATTCTTCAGTACAGAGATGAGAAAACTGAAAGCTATTATCATATGCACATAGCAACATTATTACATTCTCAGAAGACAACGTGGGCATTCAAATGTATATGCATAACAAAGAGAAATTTATGCAATTCATTTCAAAGAACAAATTATAAGAGGTCCTGGATTAGACTAACTCATTGAAGATAAGTCAGATATCTGTTGAACTGTTCAAGTAGTCCCTAAACTAGTTGGCAGAGCTGGAAGTCTGCGGCAGGGAAAGAATCACTCTATACCTGCCCTGTTGCTTGTATTCTTTTGCCAAGGGTGCGGTGCTGATCAGAAGCACCCTTTTTGGTAGCAGTGCACTAAAAAAAAACAAAAAAACCCAAACCCAAACATATCTTCCACATCTGCTACTAGCCACAGGTGGATATGTGCTAAGCTGGATGGATTTTTGGAATGACAACTGACATAGCTGTTCAGTACTGATAAAGGTAGATTGATTCTCTGTAGAGACACATTAAAAGCTGTCCCAGACTTTTTCCCTTTATGCTGCAACTGCTACATCAATATTTAATCATAACGTTACAGAAATTAGAAGATACTTCATAACGTTCATGTGCATTAAAATATTAAATGACACTTTGGATTTATTTAATACTGTATAAGTGATAGTTGTTGTATTAACTTAAGTTATCATTTTAACAAATGCATTATTTTTTTGCTCATTAAACTCGCTATGGGGAAGCATTTAAATTCCTTTCAATAACTAAATTACATACTTCATTTCAACAGACAGCTTTGTCAGCGATTGTCTACAAGATGGATGGCTCTCCGGGGGCACAGTGCTGCAGACTGTGTGCGCATTTATCTCACTGTAGCCAGGAAATGGTCTTTCTTTGGTGCCAAACTGTTTGCAGCAAAAGTAAGAAACTTTACTGAGTTCGAGTGGTGGGGTTTGTAAAGATAAATATAATTTGCAAATAGTAACACCTTTTTGTTGAAAACAATTGTGTTGTATATGAGGTGATTGGATCTCTTGTGAAATTACTAATTTGTTTAAGTCATATACTGGTGAAATATAATAGCTGTAGTACTAAGTATACCATAATAGTAACTTTCCAATACACTTATTGCTTGTTTGACATTATTAATCTAGGTAGTATCATTCAATTTCCTTATATCTTAGCTTGAGATAGCTTTTTAATGTTAGACTTTTTTACCTCATAACTGGTAGAACATTGAAAAGATATCATTAACTGGCTACGAAAGCTGAACCTTGCAGAAGCACTTAGTGTTGTTAAGGGTATTTAGAGCACTCCCTTCTGTCCTGGCCTCTCTCAATTTCTCTTAAACCTTAAGAGTATCTTAATTCTCTTGATTCAAGTGACATCTGTGTTAAACAGAACTGTCACCTCATGCCTTATGTTTTATTAGGTAATCCCATCGTATCTATTATATATATGTATATGTATATAAAAGCTTATCAGCACTCCATTCTTTGTTTATGTACACGTATGAGCTAATGAAAAAACGTTAACACCTGCCTTTTACTTTAACAAAGAGACTATACATTTTATTGGTCTGAGCACCGGGGGAGGTTTCAAGAGTATTAGGTTGAGTTCATAATTCTGCCACTGGCTGCCTACATGGCTTTGGGCAGCTGTTTCAGTTTCTTTTCTGAAATTTACACTGAGGGGGAACTGATGTAAGATCTGTGGATGGAGAGAGGTCTATAATAGATGAGAGTTAATAATTGTACACACATTGCTTCATTTTGAAATAGTAATTAAAGAACATTTCTCTTTTTAGCCTCTGTCAATATCCTCTGATGACAAGTCCTTCATATGGTTTGCTGTACATGAGGATGGCATAAGCATCCTGGATTACAGTTCTATGGTAAGTGAATTTTCTGTTTTAATTTTGGTTAAAGTAGATTTTAGTAGAGTATATGGGGAGATTCACCAGCATAAAAGATGGCATTAGCCTTCCATGCTAAGTTATCTAGTCTTTCTCTTAAAGCAAAAATTCCTTCCTTTCAAAATGCTGTAATGTTATCATCATTATAATAGCACTAACAATAGAAATAAGTAATGAATTATTTGCACAGAATTTATTTTTGTTTATCAGATACAGTTTTTATATCATTTAATGAAATGTTAATGTTTTAATCATTCAGATGTCAGGAGATCCATAGTTACAGTTCTTACAATAACATTAATTTTCTTTTCCTGGAGACTTCATTTTCCAATATTATTCATAATACATAGACTCTGCAAAGAGCAGTTACTTTAAAAGATTGTTATTTTCATTGTATTATTTTTGTTTAATAGTAGGTAATAAAACCCAGTGTCATTTAATTATGTCATTTTTGGCTCTGATTTTTCTGATTTTTCTTTGATTTGCAATACAAGTTTTTGCAAAAAACTCACGGTAATCAGTGAAAAAAAGCAGTGCCTGAGAAGATCCCTGCTTCCATTTATATCCTGCAAAGAAACAGAATGGCATGGTGCTATTAGCAAGTGCTAATACTGAATATCAGAAAATTAAAATCTCAGCTTTATAATTGTACTGATAGAGGCCTTTTCATTACATTTCTTTGCAGTTAAATAAAT